GTTGGTTAATAACTTAAGGTGTTAGGATTTTTCATTCATGCCCTATGACTAATTAGGCACTTTTATTCATTATCCACTTGGTTTTCATGAAAGCTAATCGAAATAATTGTGCTAGTGTGATCCCAGGCTGACTGAGCTATAGTTGGAAGTAAATTATTCATTACAGACTAAAAACAGCGACAGCTAATGTATGCTTCTCTTGTGCATATTGTGCTTGTTCTCAAGAAGGGGTAGCGGTCGGGTAAATTCGAACATCACGAGGGTAGTATTTGTTTTCAAAAGAGAAGTGAGTTCTTTGTAGTTGGATTAAGAGTAGTTAAGGAATTCTAGCGGGTAGCCAATAGCGGAGTTTGAATTAGTGTTCAGTCAATTTTTTGGGGTGTTCGATTAGATAATGCAAAGATCAAAGGGGGATTTTGTGATTTTGAAAGAAAAGGAAATAATTGAGGTAGATTTTATCATATCTGAATACATAAATATAGCCAGTATCAGGATGCGCATCCCCTAGACCATAGGGAGCTCGACGGCAAGAAAACAGTAAGAACGTGATTTAGCTAATGTACAAGCAGTAATCATGTTCATACTATAGTTGAAATAAATCCATCCAGACATGTGAGAAATACTTGTAATAGACTTTAAGTTCAAACTTCAGTGTAATCAAATATTTTTATGATGAGAAGCATATAACAGGAAGTAATCTACTTGAGATATCTTAGAATAACATGATTTCTACAACTGGCTAAAAGGCTATTTCTAGAGGAAACCATAACTGAATTTCACTCAAAGGGATAAAGTGTTAATTCACTGTCCACAGCTAAATACTTCCTTAACTCTACTTAAAATATCTCTTACGCATCTAGGTCAAATAGGCGAAAACAAGGAGGCTTCCAAGCTCTTAAAAAGAAAAGTGCACAATAAAAACTATAACAAAATATGACCTTAAGATGAACTAGCTTGCTTTACCTGTGTCAACTAAACAGAAAGTTCAGAAATTTAAGGTCTTCCTCCAACAAAATACTAAAAACCGAAAATAACAAAGGTATCCTGGGAAAGTAAAACGTTCCACCCCATATAACCAAAATATGCCAACTCAAAATAACTATATCGAGATAAAGAGTTGCTCAGTCACATGATAAATAAAGTCATCATAAATAGACCAAAATCACCCCCAAGAATCAGTGAGAACCAGTTCGAGTCAAATCAAAAGAGCACTGCGACTTCCAACCTCAAATTATCAAATTACCCAAAATAAACAAAAGGATCTTAGCCGAAAACTAATAAATTAAGGGCACACAAGAAACAGACAACAAAGCACTCCTTCAGGAGCACCTAAAACCATAATCAAATATCTCAGACGCCGAATGAAGTTAGAAGATAACAAAAGCAGAAAATGAGAAAGGGAAAACATGCACCTCCACGATCAACAAGAACAAAGTTCGGCATAGCCCCAGGCTTAGCCTTAAAAGAAATCCCAAAATCATCAAATTTTTGACATCCTTTACTGTTATCCTTTGGGTAAACTACAGTGCCGGCCATGCTTCCTCCATATTGTGGGACCCCAAAGTTTCCAATGGCACTATCGTGAGTACCCTTTAAGCTCTCCGGTGACGTCACCCTCAAACTGTTCTTCTCCACCACAAATCTCCCCACAACAAATTCCACCAAAATCAGCAGTGAAAATACCTGCAAGATCGCAACTTTAGATCTCTCAGAGAAGCCCATCTGCTTGGATTTCCAGATGGAGCAGAAAAATCCGAGATTGCGAATTTTATACGCAGCTTG